CACCGCGCCCGGCCTGGTTTTCTTTTCTTGTTTTAATCAGCAATACATTCTTTTGCTAGGAAAAGTCACACTGAGGCTTATTTTGGAATGCTCTGATTTAATAGCAAGGACAAGCAGAGGTACTTTTCCATTTCAGATATTGGGAGAAGGAGAGAGGGGGAAAAAACCTCATATAGGTCAAAGTATTCAATTGGCCAAATATTTTAAAGATATTTTGTAAAAACCAGGTAAGATTTAGAGCTCCCCCTCCCATTAATTGTATACTTTCAGTAACGCTTATCTAAAAATCATGCTTTGGCTGAAATTATTTCTGGCTTACTATTATTATTTATTTTTTGCATTTTTCGGATGCAGAAAATAAAAAGAGGCCCTAAAAAGCATCATTTGCTTATTATTTGAGAATGTTAAAGTAATTGAATTCTCTGGAGAGATGGAGGCTAAAATAGCAAGTTGAGGAATGAATGCAACTTTTCAGTAGATACTACAATGCTTTGTTAAAGAGAGCGCTAGAGTGATGGAAATGAAACTGCAAATGCTGACCTTGAACTTTCTGGTAACATTGAGTGCTTGTCTCTTCCTAGCCCATATGATCTGTGGACTTGCCCACATAGCTTCTTGCTGGTACCATATCCTTTGTTTTCTGAAGTCACTTTGGGGACTTTAAAACACACCCTTTGGCTTTAAAATTGTATCTTATTTGAATGTTAACTTGATGGTGAACTTACACAATATTGGCTTTTAGACATCGAATAAGATTAAAACCCCAAAGTGACACTTTTTGGACCTGCAATCTTGTCTTATGCTTGTAATTACATTCATTTTCTTTCAACTTTAATTCAGAAACCTCAAGTTGTTGGCCTTTATTATTATTCTCAGTTTACAGATGGCACTACTGGTACTAGAAGGATTGTGGTTTATTTTTAAGTATGTAATTCATTAAATTTGATGGGAGTAGGGCTTGGGCTGTCTGCCTTCCAGCCCACTTTGCCTCCAAGATCAATACAACCTCAAAGAAGAGAGGCTGTCTGTTTTTTAATGGTGTTTGTGATGGATGTACCTTGTTGATATTAATAACTATCTACTGCTGTATAGTTTGATTAATCACAGTCTTCAACTAAGTAATGTACATATTCCACTTTAGGGAAAAAAATATCAAAACAATAGGAAAATCAAGTGGTCTTAGGACTTTTGTTTAAGAGCAACGTCCCAGTAAGGTCCTAGCTTACCACAGGCACAGTCCAATAGTCTAGACTATTGGTGTCTCCATTAGCCAATAGAAAGAGATGGAGGGAGGACCTGGACAAAATTATAGAATAATAGAAAGAGATGGAGGGAGGAGGACCTGGACAAAATTATATTCACTTACACATTTAGGAAAGCGGACTAAGAATACCTTGTAGAATGATTTTCAATAAATGAGGTTGAAACAGAAAGCATTTCCTGAACAGCATAAAAGTTTAGGATATAGGTTCTGGAGCCAGACTATCTAGGTATAGAATCTGGCTCCACCAATTCCTGTCTGGCGGACTTAGGCCAAGAGACCTATCCTGTTTCCTTATCTGTGTAATAGCTAAAAATTAGTAGATTCTATTTTATAGAGTTGTGAAGAATAAATGAGTTAATACATGCAATGAATGTAGAACCGTGCCTACCATAGGGTAAGTGCTCAATATAGGTGAGTCATTACAGTAATTATTATTGGCAACTGGAGAAAGAGGGATAAAGAAGGAGGAATGATGATGTATCTCTGGTTTCTGGCTTAAGCACCTGAGTGTGGCCAATGACCAAGATAGGAACAAGAAGCACAAGATGAAAATAGGTTTAGTGGAAGAAGCTTGTTTCTCTTTTGGTGGTATTCATTTTGAGGTATCTTTGTTACAGCTGAGCAGAGATATCAATGGGGCATCAGATATACCCCATTCCAGATAATAACTATTAATAAGTTTTCTGTGGACTGCAAATTCTCTCTTTGGTTTTTCTGTGGACTTCTTGTGAATTCTCCAAAAAAACTATATTCCATGTACTTCAGAACATCCATCTAAGTAATAATGAACATAATAATGGCATAGTAGGTACTCCGCAATTATATGTTAAAGGGATCAGTGTTCTCCAACCTTTTGGGCACCAGGGACCAGTTTCACAGAAGACAGTTTTCCCATGGACTGGGAGTAGGGTGGGGTGAGGGTTTGGGAGGATATGCAGAGCTAAAGTAATTATATTTCCTAACAGCCCATGGACCAGTACTGGGCTGCATCTTGGGGATTGGGGACCACAGGGGTAATTGCTTTCTGAAAGGCCCTAAGTTGCTTGTATAAAGATAATGTATAAACATAAAGATAAACCTATTATAATCAAAGCCAGATTGAGATTTTTGAAATAGAAACAAGAAAAGGCCATTATACTTTCAGTGTGGATTTCTTTTACCCATTCATTCGTTCATTCATTTTTATTCTTTTTTTTTTTTTTTTTGAGAAGAATCTCACTCTGTTGCCCCGGCTGGAGCTGCCTGCTGCCTCAGAGCCTAGCTCATAGAAACCTCAACCTGGGCTCAAGGATCCTCCTGCCTCAGCTCCCGAGAGCTGGGACTAAGGCATTCCACTATGTCCGCTAAGTTTTTTCTATATATTTTAGTTGGCCAATTAATTCTTTCTATTTATTAGTAGAGACAGGGTCTTGCTCTTGCTCAGGCTGGTCTCGAACTCCTGAGCTCAAACGATCTGCCTGCCTCAGCCTCCCAGAGTGCTAGGATTGCAGGCGTGAGCCACCACGCCCGGCTTTGTTCATTCTTATAATGAATATTTCTTGAGCACTCACTGTATAGCAGGTACTGCTCTAGTTACGGGGGATGTAACAGTGGACAAAATACACAAAGATCCTTCTGCTAATGGGGCTTATATTTTGGGCCAACTAGGAAGAAGAGACAATAAACATATTAATAAAAACAATATATTAACCTCACACCCATTAGGACGGTCACTATCAAAGCTACAGAAAATAAAAGGTGTTGGTGAGGATGTGGAGAAATTGGAGCCCTTGTGCACTATTGGTGGGACTATAAAACAGTATAGCCTGTGTGGAAAACAGTATGGCAGTTCCTCAAAAAATTAAAAATGGAAATTACTCACACTATACATATGCACGAGTGCAATCCACCTTCCCAGGAGACTATTGTCTTCGGTCCCGAGTTAAGCGGAAGGGTCCTTTCTCCCTTTCGTCTCTACTCGAAGTCTGGGTTTAGCGGGTGCATGGAGGGACTCTTTCAATGCTTATCGGTCCCCTGAAGAGACATGCCCAAACAGAAATCGAATGCGACACCGGAGTCTCAATGCTAAGTCAATGAATCACTCCATGTATTTCAATGGTCTACTTTAGGCTCTGAGTTTGATACTTTACGCTACATGCTCTGGCCCTATCTGGTGTTTTCTTATTTATCACTACACAGAATAACCACATAGGAAGTAGCAACAGAAAAATGGCATGGTGGCGGATTGGATATTGTAAAGAGCTGATCGGCGTGATCTGCCGTTCACTCTTACTCCCCAATCATAGCTAGTCTCCACAGTGCCGTCATCTCACACCGGAATGACTTTGCTCCTGTCAGTGGACAACGGATTCACTCAACCCAACCTGGCAGGCGCGAGGCTACCTGTTATCGGGATCACAGAATTCGCGAAGGCGCTAGCCACCATATACCCTGGACGCAAGCACGTCCATGGAATGCATTCTTCTCGGAACTATAGCTGGGGGGGCTGGGTGCTATTTTCATCTTAGGCTATTTTCCAGGCCCGTGCATAGGACAAGTCACGACAAGTCGTTGGAATGTGGAGGGTCTTAGTCTCCAACAGGAATATACTCAAAAAAATTGGAAGGATCTTGAAGAGATGTTAATATTTATATACCCATGTTCATAGCATTATTCACTGTAGCCAAAAGATGCAACTGAAGTGTCCATCACTGCATGAGTAGATAAGCACAATGTGATATACACACATCATGGAAGCCCTGAAAGGAAGGAAATTCTGACATATGCTATAACATGGATGAACTTTGATGACATTATGCTAGCGAAATAATCTAGTCACAAAAGGACAAATACTATATGAATCCACTTATATGTGGTGCTTACAGTAGTGTTCTCTGCCCTGAATTCGTGGAGACAGAAAGTAGAATGGTGGTTGCTAGGGTCGGGGGGGAGGGGGAATGAGGAGTTGTTTAGAGGGTACAGAGTTTCAGTTCTGCAAGAGGAAAAGAGTTCTGGAGATTGGTTGCACAGTAATGTGAATATGCTTAATAGTACTCAAGTTTACACCTAAAATGGTTAAGATGGTAAATTTTATGCTATGTGTATTTTACCAAAATTTTTTTAAAAATACGAGAAAGAAAATAATATAGTAAGTCCTAAGGTGATAAACACTATGGAAAACAAAAAGTAGGGCAGAGCAGGGGGCTCTGGGATGCCAGGGACGGCACAAATACAGTATTAAATTGACAGGTGGTTGGGAATCCTCCTTGAAAAGGTGATATTTGAACAAGAACAGGAAGGAGTTGTGTGTCTCCTAGCTGCTGTTATAGTCTATCTAAATCACCCTCATGTGGTGTGGCAGCGTCCATGCAACGGTCAGGTGGTGTGTGTCTGTAAAGTACACATTGGTGGGCATTTTACAGAGAAACTGTGGATGTGGACATTTCAACTCCATTGGAAAAACAGTCCAGGTACTCAGGTAGCACCTGCACAGATTATAATCAGATGTCATCTGAGACGTGAGGTTATGTTACGCTAAAGATCAGCCATTGTTCTTATATGTGGTCTTTTCTAAAAATCAAACTGTAACCTAGAAGCAAATACCAGGAGTTTGATTTTTTTAGTTATTCCTAAGTTGGCATGTTGTTGTTTAGCCTGAAAAATCTTGGTGCCTAGGGAGCTGAAAAGACATTCATCTCTGAGATGAGTTTTTATGGTGTTATGATATATATATATATATATATTGGTTTTTGTCCATAGCTCCTGGCCCCTGAGTCCCAGAGTCCTTGTTATAATGTGTGGGTGCTTTAGGCTTTAGGCCTTAGGAACAGGTTTCAGGAGTTAGAATCTCTTTCTCTGACCTTCTCCTTTCACCTGCCCAAAGCCGGACTCTAATCTGGTTGTGGGTCAAAACACCTCATTCCAGAGAAGGTCCTGCCCCACACCCTGGAGGAAGGAATGCTGCACAGGGAGGCCAGGAAGAATCTGAACAGACGGGCCTTCCTGGGTTGAGACCATGTGCTTTTTGTGCAATCACATGTCTACATGGTTGTCAATCATGCCTATGTAATGAAGCCTCCATAAAATCCCAAAAGGATAGGGTCGGGAGAGCTTCCGGATAGCTGAACACGTGGAGGTGGTGCACCCAGGTAGGGCACGGAAGCTCTGCGTCCCTTCCCTCATGCCTTGCCCTACGCATCTCTTCATCTGTATCCTTTGTAATATACTTTATAATAAGCCAGCAGATGTGTTTCCCTGAGTTCTGTGAGCCACTCCAGCAAATTAAACCCAAAAAGGGGGTTGAAGCCAGTTGATCAGAAGTTCTGGAGGCCTGATCTTGCAACGGGCCTCTGGGGAAGGGGCAGTTTTGGGGGCTGAGCCTGTAGGATCTGATACTATCTCCAGGTAGACAATGTCAGAATTGAATTAGAGGACACCCAGCTGGTGTCTGCCACTTTGTGGGTGGGGGAAGCCCCCCCGTTTGGTCAGAGAAGACTTCAGTGTTGATGATTGTTGTGGTGTGAGAGCAGAGAGGTTTGAAGAGCTTTTCCAAAAACAGTTTTAAACTCCTTTATACAACTAGAATTTTCAAGGCTTCAGCTGACCTTTCTGTCAACTTAGGGAGGGCAGCTCAAAAGTACTTATTTCAGTTATTCTTTATCTGATGGATTATATAGCATCAAACAGGGAGCTGCTTATTTAAAATCCTGTGATCCATGTTTTATTATCAATTTATGAAGCTAGTATAAACAGGTATCGACTTACTATCATTTAAGCCAATACTTTGTACTCATGAGAAAAATTGAAAGAGGTTTGCAGCATTGGATTCTTGAGCTGAGTTTTTCCACATGTAATTTTTCAACCTTACTTTTCCAGGTCTAATAAAAAAGAAGTATAATGAGCATGACTCTCTACTTTGGAACCAGGAAGGAGTCTCCCCCAACCTCCTCCTCCCACTGAACTTTGGGGGGAAGATTAACACCTATGGTTGGACAGGTACCTTTGCCCCTCCATACTCCTGTCCCCTGGCCTGGGATTCTGAAGCTGTACTAGCAGTCATTCAGAACATACATGGCTGTTGGTGACTCTCATGCCAGGCTAAAGTTGTAGAGTAATTGCTGAAGTCACAAGGACTAGGTGGGGAAAGAAGGAACTAATGCCCTAAGTCTGTTCTACCCTAATGGCAACAAGCATTGGTTGGCTGAAAAAGCACAGCACCAATCTTGAAAATTGCCCCCCACTCTAATTTTTGGTAACATTCTTACCTACTCAGTGTTTGATTTCTTTTAGTTTTGAACAAAATTCTTGCAAAATATTATCATAATTATAGTGTCTTGGGTGCTTTAATGAAAAGAAAATAAGAATATTTTCCTGTATCTCTGTGCATCCATAGGCAGCTGCCTATGGGCATTTAGCCTCAGCTGGTTGTCAAGCTCAGGGTCTCCCCTGTACCACTAGTTTCTCCCAACACACAGCGCTGATGATAGACACAGGCTTCTCTTTATCGTCAGGTTGAAGTGATATCACATGGGCGTGTAGCAGCCATTAGGTGTATACTGTTGTCATTAGATATATATGTCATTAAATGGTGATAGCAGTACTTAGTAGCAAAAGAAGGAAAGTTTAGTGGATTCAGCAGACATTTATTGAGGGTGCATTCTGGGCAAACATCTGTGCTAGGTTCAAAGTAGAGAGGAGAGGGAATTTAATGCAATGCAAGATAGTTCTTGCTGGCAAGAAATTTATGGCCTGCTCGGGACATAGGAAAAGTATCCAGATAACTACGGAATAAAGTTGTGTATGATGGCATCATTTAAGAGATACAAACTGAAGGTTGCAGGGAAACAGATGGAAGAAGATATTGCTTTGACTGGGTGAATTGGAAGGCATGAAAAAATTGGCATCTAAGAGATGCCTTCAGGGATGGATAAAGTTTTCTGAGGCAGAAATAGGGAGCCATTCCAGCTGAATAGAGCAGCCTGGGCCAAGACCAGAAGAGGAATCCCTTTCTCGTCATGTATATATCCAAGGAGACATGGATAAGACTGCACTGTAGCCTAGTTTGTCACAGCAAATAACGAGAAACAACCACCATCCACGGGATGGACAAATAAATTGTGCTATATTCACACAATGCAAGATACTCAGCAGAGAAAATGAATCAACTAGAGAATCCTGTTACAATTAGTGTGGAAAAAAACACATTAAATGAAAGAAAAAAGGCTGTAGAATGTTAGGAACAAAAGGTGTTAAGGTTAAAAATATCTAAAACAATATATATTGTTGATGGATATATAATTGCATGTGTTTTATTATACTATTATGTGTAGATGTGTAACTCTATAATTTCATAATGCCTTCATGTGATGAAAACATTAGTGGGAATGAAAACCACCCAAGTTGGTGCGTAGAGAGTGCTGCTCAGGAGGGGGGAAGGGAACGAGTGGACACAGGAAGGTAGGTTCCGGCTGTATCTGTGTTATAGACAATGCAGGTAGGTAATGATGAACAGACACACTCATACATCTACATACACATATGTATGCACGCATACACATGCATACGTGTATATTTTAAAATCGGAAGAAAACCACGTTAAGATGTGACAGTTTGTTATCCTGTACACTCTTCTATACAGGTAAGATATTTCATAATTTAAAAACGAAGGAGAAAGTCATAGTGCACGTTTAGGAATAGCAAATGGTGTAGATCAGTGTTTTTCAAACTTTTAACCTGACCCTCGGTAAGAAATCTATTTTTATTTTGGAAACCAGGAATTTCACACCAGTACTTATCCATAATGTATGAGGTATACCCTGACATGTTCTATTCTGTTTACTCTGTTTTGTTCTGCCTGAGATCAAGCAGCGGGTGCTGCCTACGGTCACATGCAGTTCAGGGCCAGGCCACAGACGGCTGTGACTGCCAGGCTCAGGAACGTGAGCTTCAGTTGGCGGAGAGGAGAGGGCCGCTGGTGGCTTTAGGGCATGTTATTGTCTGAGCTGAACTTTAGCCAGATCAGGTAAGATGGAACTGAGGCCAGAGATTGGCAGATCTAAGATCAGTTAACCATTCGTGTAGCTGGGACAGGATGTGTGTCTACAGGGGAAGTGAAAAGAAGGAACAGGTTTTGAATATGCTGTACTTTTTAAAAAAATTAATAATTAAGGACTTGATGTCTGGGGTTTGAAGGAAGTGGGAGGGAAAGGAGACAAATTTCACTTTTGATTTCAAGACTTGGTGACTCTAATAACAGAACAAGGTACCGTGTTTCCCCCAAAATAAGACAGGGTCCTATATTTATTTTTCCTCAAGAAGACACCCTAGGGCTTATTTTCAGGGGATGTGTTATTTTTTTAAGTATGGTACAACAATCTACATTTAATCAAATAGAGTTAAGTCGTCTTCTTCTGGAACATCATCATAACTCTCCACACCCAGAATTCCATCCTGAATTTCTTGTGACTCTATTTCCTTTAGACCCATTGGCCCCAATCTCTCATGTTGAGCAATAGAGCTCTCATGGGGCAAATGAGAAGGGCTGCTCGTCTTCTTTACCGCTGGGAGACCAAATGCATGGGTTGTGCAGACACGCTGCGTAGCCACGCCCATCACTAGGTCTTATTTTCTGAGTAGGGCTTCTATTGCGCAAATGCTTAGAAATCCTGCTAGGGCTTATTTTATGGGTAGGTCTTATTTTTGGGGAAACATGGCAAAACAAGTTTGCTTTTAAATAGCGTTTAAGGTGCTGAGGGGGACATCCAGGTGGATGTGGTGAAGTTTTAGAGGTTCAAAGACATGAATTCATAATGGTTTCATAATGTGTATGGCTCTCTGTGGTAGTACACAGTACCTGGTCAGGAAAAAAAAATGAAATTAGGTGTAATCAGATGGGGGGCTAGACAGGCAGTCCCAGCAGAGGCGTGGGGGATGGAGGGAGAAGGATTGCTGGCAGGGGTCAAGGTAGAGCGGCTGGCACTGGGCTGGGCTTGTGTTAGAGTGGCAGTGGGGCCCTCTGAAGTGGGTGGACTACGAGAGAAGAAGGGTGGGAGGACGAGGTTATGAGGAGCCCAAAGAGTGTGTTCAACAGGTGCGAGGAAATATTACAAGCGGACATCAGGAGTGTCGTGATCAGGGAGGAGGGATTTCAGACCTCAGATCTTGGGGCTAAAGTCATTCTGAGTGATAGTCACAACCTTTGTAGGAACCAAAGGCTGGGCAGGTGGATTCCATGATATAATGGAGATGAAAGCTATTGCTGTGTGATAGCTCACAGTTATTGATCTGAACTGAGTAGATTGGCTTTTGCAACAGAGCTCCTCTGATGGAACAGCTGATGATTTTTAACTAGATCTGCTACTGATTATGAATTACTGCTTTAGATTGTGGAAAAGGCCACACTGGGAAGTGGAGCGAGGTCCTCACAGGTACCCTTAGGAAAGCCCTCAGGGAAGGTCCTGGGAGAGGAGATCTGGATGGCACTCCTGGGTCATGCTGTGAGCCAGGCTTGCTAGTCCCTCATCAGCTCAACGGCAGATAGGCACCCTCTCACCGAACTCTTCCCTTTCATTCATGGTTGATGGCCTTCCTTTTTACTCAGACACAATCAGTCGCCTGGACTCCTGGGACACAGGAGTCAAATGCAGTGGGGTTTGCCCATACATGATTGCTGATGTCTTTTAGGGCTTTGACTAGGTCACTTAAATTCTCTGCGCCTCAATTATTCTCACAATCAAGTAACACAGACTAAAAAAAAAATTTTTTTCATGTCTTGAACAGCATCCTTGTGCAACTCAGTTTTATAATTTAATGTACAGGAGGATACATGGACAGCCAGTTACAGCATTATGCTAGGAGGAGGCTACAGTCTGATTGTTTGTGTCTCACCGGCCCTCCCCGCCCAGATTCATATGTTGAGATCCTAACCAGCCGTGTGATTAGGTCACCTAGAGGAATGGGGTCAGTTCCCTTTTAAAAGAAATCGAGGAGCTCCCTGCTCCTTCTGCCATGGGAGGCCGCAGTGAGCAGACAACCACGTAGGAACCAGCAGCAGGCCTTTGCCACACGTTAGATCTGCCCGTGCCTGGATCTTGGGCTTTCCCAGCCTCCAGAACTCTGAGAAACAGATCTCTGTTGTTTATAAGCCACCTCGTCTATGGTATTTTATTTTAGCACCCTGAATGGACCAAGACAGAAGGTTTAACAGGACACGATTAATTCCGCTTGAGGCTGTTGCTAAAGTTCGTGAAAGAGGCTATATCTGAGCCTGAATTTGAGACAGAAGCGGGTTTTGCCAGGCACAGCGGGGTATAGTAACATTGGCGACGTCAAGTGTGTGGCTTGTTTCGGGAAACAGGACAGTCTGTTCTGCCTCTTTCTATGCAACGAGAATAAAAAACCAGTTCTCCTAACTCGGCTCCAATGTTCTCTTACATTGTTTTTTTTTTTTTCTGCCTGGCCTCTCTATTTCCTAAATCTTTTCTTAGGCACAAAAGTACAAATGGTAGGAGGTGATAGATCAAAAATCCAGTGAGCAATTTAACTGTGGTTTAGGGATGCCTACTAAGTAGATCAACCACATACAGATAAACAACCTCCAACTCAAATGTTGTTTCCTTTTGAAAAATACCCTGCATTTTCATTATCTTGAATCTCACTGGTTTTACCTTTAGAAGCAGGCAGAGGATAGTCTTATTTCGCTTTGTCTTTAAATGATTATCTGTTGACTCATTCTGGGGTGCCTTTACTCTGATCGTTTGCTGACAGGAGAAATAAAAGGGTGGGTTAGTGGGTGTTCCTGTCTCAAGGAGCTTGCAACTGAGTAGACCAGAGAGACAAGGCTCTCCATGTACATAGTAGCAAAGTAATGTGCGAGTCCAGATGTTCTACCTACCAGAACAAGTGGAATAGGTAGGTAAGCGAATCGGTGGAAGAGAAATCAAGATGGCCTGGGGAAAAGTTTTGTGGTGATTTGGAATTGAGTTAAGGCCTTGAGG